GATTTTTAAAATTTAATTTAATGGTTTGATTTAATGGTTTGCTCAAGCCTCCCCTGGTGCTGAAATCTGTTAAAGGCATTATTATGAGACTATTAGATCATAGGTCCTCTTTCCCAACTTTATAAATGAGGAAACTGAGGCCCGAGAAGAGAGCTAGCCTAGCCTGGGTCACACAGGTAATCACACAGCTTTGCCCATGACGCACCAGAGCCCTGGTCCAACACAAGGTCAGGACCACCCTGAGCACTTCTCCCTCCCTCTTTCCTGTTGCTTCCTTTGTTGGGAAAGTCCAAAAATCAAAAATTGGCTTAAAATAAGAGTGAACTAAAGAGAATCTGGAGTTATTCTTTAACAAAACTGAATGGGAAAATTAATAGAGACTACTTTTTTAAAAAAGAATTACTGCCATTGATTTTTTTTCTAAATCCACATCATTCTTTAAGACAAGGACTGGAGTCCCCTGCTGTGAACAGCTAGGACAAGGTGGTCATTGTTTTACACAGCAACAAAAAGAAATCCTGGACTGTCTTTAGAAGGCCAGGGGTATTTAGATAAAATTTTCAGCCTGCCATCAAATCGGTAGGTTGTTCGGTGCAGAAGGAGCTGTAGAATCCCTGTGTTAGTATAATAGTAGATGCCCCATTAGACAGACCATCAGGACATAGGGAAGGCATGGTTCACCTAAAAGTATCCATTCCTCCCACCACCAGGAGGACGATAACCCAGACAATTACCAACCCGCACATAGAACAGGACAGGCATCTACTCGTGTGCTACTTATCTATTTTCTTCTAACTCTTTCTTCTTTTCATTTCTAAACCTTAACATCATGTTAATATAATCAGAGGGACAATGACTTTGCAACTTCCCGAGGTTTGAGAAATCTCAAGAGTTTTGAATTATATCTGTGTTCCTAAATAAAAAGGTAATATTGAGAAAAATACTGGGGGTGCCAAACAATGTACACATTTTAAGAAATGTTATCTATGTATTACTTTCGAAGTTGAATTGAATTATGGTAGCAATGTATAGTATGATGTTCGCTCAAAAGATGGCATTAATCAAATGAAGGCTAGCATCATTCATTGTATTACAATTTTAATACAGTTTTCTCCTTTCTTAAAATGTGTATACATCTTTTTGGCATCTTCTGTGTAATGTACCCAATAATATATGTAATATGTTTTTTAAAATGATCATCAACTGGATATATATCCAATGCAATTTCCTTTGGCTGCATTCATACCTTCAATAGGAATTTATTGGGTATCTGTGTATCTCAGAGGTTGACTGATGCCAGGTGTGAGGTTGTGAGCCAAATGTCACCCATACAAAGATATAAAAGGACAAACTGCTACTGAGCAAATCAACATAAATATACACATAGATACAGCTTGTGGTAAGTGAGGAGGAGCTCAGAAAGAGAATTTGAAGTATAACATTTCAAAACCACTAGAAACCTACCTATGAGAATCCAGTAATATTTTAACACATGCAGTAATATTATTTTCATACCCAATTCTTTCCTTTTGTTAGTATCTTTAGATTTCGCAAATGATTATTTTCCAGTGAGATCAAGCCACATGTCCTCTTAAATATCTCAAGCTTAACCTTTTAAGTATTAGTTCAAAGGAAGGAAAAGAAATAGGCCATATGTGCCAAATTATAGCATATTTTTCTTACCCATTTTATGATAAAAATAATTAACTGGCTCAAAAAGTTATACAAGTTGCACTCTCATTAACAGCTTATGACAGTGTCCATTTCTTTCTAAAAGTAGATATTATAGTTTTTGCCAATGTATTTGGTGAAAATGGTGTATAATAATTAATTGGTTTGACTTTGACTCCTGGCTTTCTAAAAATGTCTACACTGTAATAAAAAATTTTTTATAAGCCCTAAAAATACTTTTTACTTTGGCTATAAGTGTCAAAAGGCAGCAAGGTTATTGCAGAAGTTTCAAATGTTCCAGTGACTGTAGACTGTATATTCTTTTTTTATACTATGAATTGAGTCCAGAAGGTTCTCATGTGTGATCAGAATTGTCGTAGGACCAAAGCCCCCTTTGATAATCTTTCATAAACCCAAAATAATCTCCCCTTTGCTAAATACATGAAAAAGAAAGCGTACTAATCTGAACAGACCCTGAAGTCTTTCACCCTTGATGGAATGTAAAAAATGGAAAAACTTAAAGATAAGATGTAGACATAGAGGAGGGGGATCATCCAGGATTATTCCTAAGAATATGACTTGAAAAACTAGGTGAATGGAAATGCCATTTAGTAAGTAGAGATGAGCAGATTTGGGGGGAAGGACTGAGTGTTCAGTAAGTTGGAGGAGCTGCAAAGACTCTTGCACCCCAAATTGTCCACAGCAGACTGTTGGATATATGGGAGCTCAGAAGTAAATTTACTCTAGAAATGTAAAAGTGATAGTAGTTAGCTATAGATCATATTGAACACAATGGGGATGGCTGGGGATGTTATGGAAGAAAGGAACCAACAAGGGGCCTAAGGAATGGATCCAGCTCAGGGGGAAGAGGATCAGCTGGCAAATGTGAATGTCAGCCTTCTCATCTGCTCTGGTCTCTGAAAATAACAGCTCCTGGAACTCCATCCCATTCTCCAGATTGTCTAACCAGCCTGGAGAGTAGACCTGCCATCATTCAATAAATGTAGTTTCAGGGGACGTTAACTTCTTTTAACCACTTACTTAGGTCATATTAACTTTGCAATCAATGCAACTTCTCAGTCTTCTCAGAAGAACAATTAGTAAATCAACTTCTTTTAGTTCAAAGATGATTATTCTTGATAACTTACTGCATTCCCCGTTGTTTTATTAGTGGTCCCCACTATATCTGTGGAATCCTATTTCTGACACTCACTCAGCAGATGGGTGGTCAAAGGCCAATTGGTTAGCTCTCTATGCATTGGTTTCCTTACCTATAAATTGGTGTTAATAGATTTGTGAGGATGAGATAAGTTAATTCATGTGAAATGCCCAGAACAATGCCTAGTACATCAGTGCTTAATAAATGTTAGTTGTCATTATTCTCATAGTCTATCAAAGTTTCTCATGATTATTTTGCAAATGCTCTCACCGAGTTAGAATTTGTCATTAAGCAAACTATAGAACATGGTTGAGAAACTGTTTTGCTAACTACAAGGAAAGCCAGGGAATCAAAAGAAAGGGAGGGTAAGATGGGAGTGAGCAGAGAAGGGGGCGTAGGCCCTCTAGCCCCTCTTCAAACCGATTTCTTCTCTGTATTGGTTTTTCTTTATTCTGTTTCTAGAAGTGTCTCATGTGAAGAAAGTGTTCTACTTTAGGGGGGAAAAAGTAATCTTGGCTAAGCTGCTAACTAGTATAATGTCCTAGCCCCTGCCAACCACAATTCAGTTCAGCAAAGCCTTATTGGATGCAGTGCCTACTGTGTGCAGAGTGCTTTCTGCCCATGGGGGAAAAGAATAAGACTATTCTCTGCTTCCAATTGGTTTATAATACAATTAGATGACCTATCCCAGACTTCGTGCCAGGAGGTCTACCCTGTGTGCTGTAGCAGAGGTGCAGAGTACAGTGGCACCACAGAGCAGGGGGGTCCTGGGAGGCTTCATGAAGAAGGTGGGGTTTGAGGATGGGCAATAGGCAGAGATGAATGGGGTGGAAGCCCAAGCAGCAGGGACAGTGTACGCAGAGGGAAAAGCATCGATTCTCATTCTCCACACTGATCAAATGACACAAGTGATGCTCAACTTCAAGCTTCATTCTCACTTAACTGGCACATAGAGGAAGGAAAGAGTAGGGAGGGTGGGGAACCACTATGCCACATAGAGGAGTTCAGCCTTTCTGCCCAGGTTTTGGAGCAAGAGAGTGATATAATCAGAGCTGTGTTTTAGGAAAATGCATGTGACACCAGAACACCTTAAATTTGTGGTTCAAGACCTTTGGCAAGTTATCACAGGATAAAGGGACGGTGAGACTCTGGATTAAAATTATCTCTAAACAGAATCAGCTCTCAGTGATCATTTTCAGCCTAGCTCATTAGGGCAGGCTGGGCTTTCTTATATTTTGTTATTGCTGTATCTGAGGAATCTTTCTAAAAGAAAAAAGCTACAGCACACATTGCTGCCATTTGAAAAACGGCATTTTTAAAAAGGGTTTAATACATAGTGACAGTTTTGATGTATGCAAGTGGGTGTGTGTCCTATTACTTCACCATTCTTTGCCTGCATAATTTAAAATGACAGTTTAGCCTGTCAAACTTAAATGTGAGTGAAGTTCCTTGGATATTTATAAAACATCAAATAGATAGAATCATGTCAGCAAATGATGGGGTTTTTTATTACTAAATCACAGGAGGATTTTTGGATGATAGTTCCTGGCATCTCACCTGTAAGCTGAACTTCCTGCCAAGGTATAAATGGAGTGGTCCACGGTTTTGAAGGTATTTTCAACCATTGGTGAAATAAATAAAAAGACATCACAGGACTTGAGGCAAAATTGTAATCAAAGACTGAGACGCAGGACAATGATACAATTTTTGTTTTGTTTTTTAATGTATTAACAATCCATGCTTTCCGGTTTCCCTGAGAAAGTGTAAGTTACCCAAGCAAAGAAAGCTTTGGTCTCCTGACCTAGCTGACTGTTTGCTGGGTTTTAGCCCTCTGCCCCAGATACCTTAAGGCTTGCCAAGTTTGGAGTTTGGGTGTTTTTTACATGCAGAGCTCTAGACACATCCTGTACATTTCAGTAGATATATGCCTAAGAGTGTGTGAAACGACTTTTTGTGAATCTATTAATACTTTAAAAACTAAGTGGAACTCAATGTAAAGAGCGAGCGCCATGGTCAACCCAGGCAGCATCCAGCTTGAGCGGTCGGGGTCCGTACGGTCTGACCCGGAGTCCGCCTCGCGGGGAAGCCCCCAGCGCCTTCAGTCCCCGAGCTCCGCCCCCGGGACCGTGCGTCCCGCGGGCCCCGCCTCCCGGCGCTGGGCTCTGATGTCACCGCCTGCGCCGCGCGGCAGAAACAGGAAGTGGAACCAAAACAAAGGAGCGGCAACTGGGTGCGGGCCTACTTTCTGCTTGTCTTCGGCGGACATCTGGGCGGACTCTGAGGAGTCGTCCGACTATGTCCAACATGGAGAAACACCTCTTCAACCTAAAGTTCGCGGCCAAAGAACTGAGCAGGAGTGCCAAAAAATGCGACAAGGAGGAAAAGGCCGAAAAGGCCAAAATTAAAAAGGCCATTCAGAAGGGCAACATGGAAGTTGCGAGGATACACGCCGAAAATGCCATTCGCCAGAAGACTCAAGCGGTGAATTTCTTGAGAATGAGTGCGCGGGTCGATGCGGTAGCTGCCAGAGTCCAGACGGCGGTTACGATGGGCAAGGTGACCAAGTCCATGGCCGGGGTGGTTAAATCGATGGATGCGACACTGAAAACCATGAATCTGGAAAAGATCTCTTCTTTAATGGACAAATTCGAGCACCAGTTTGAGACGCTGGACGTCCAAACGCAGCAAATGGAAGACACGATGAGTAACACCACGACGCTGACCACTCCCCAGAATCAGGTGGATATGCTGCTCCAGGAAATGGCAGACGAGGCCGGCCTAGACCTCAACATGGAGCTGCCGCAGGGGCAGACCGGCTCCGTGGGCACAAGCGTGGCCTCGGCCGAGCAGGATGAACTGTCCCAGAGACTGGCCCGCCTGCGAGATCAAGTGTGACGACAGAACCCATTCTGAGGTTTCTTAGCTGTAGCCACCTTCTGAAATGCTCTCTGTGTACTAGGGAAATACTATACTCTAAGGAAACTTTGAACATGCCAGAATGCTGAAATGCTCTTTATTTAAGATGCTTCTGCCTTTGGGTTTACAGTATTCTTGGATACATTAAGATATTCCAGGCTTTCTCCACCCTTAACTGGATTTTAAAGTTCTGTGTAGCTTGTGATGGTGTGTATTTTTATAGCTGCCTTTTAAAAGGACTAGTTAACTTGATGTACATGAATCTTGCTCAAAAATTTGATCAAAACTCTAGTTTTCTGCTCGAATTATCAAAATTGAACATTTTTTTTAACTTAGTGCAATTGATGATATATAGAATTGATATGTGCATAAAAATTAGAGGAGAATGATTACTTTGGTTACAGGGCTATCAACACTTCATTCAACTTACTTAATGGACAGTGCTATTTCTGTGTATCCTTTTTTTGCCATAAAAATGAGATTACAGTTGACTATTAATCTGTCCTCATAACTTGTACTAAAATTACCTTAGGACGTTCTTGCATAATACCCTCTTATTGTTGATGTTCTGTAAGTTTTTGTGTAGTAGTTTTTTGTAACTAGAAAAAAATGCCACATAATTTCCATATTTTATGAGGAAAAATTGTTCATTTATGTTTTTATTTACTAACGAGTTTTTTAAAAGACTTAAGGTTTAACATGACAGTTTCTTTCAAATGAACTTCTCTAACACATTTCTAGTTCTTTCCTATTTCAACACTTAGACTTCTGATAAAGTATGTTAATTAGCATAGCAGTCATATTACTCTAACATTGCCAAAGAACTGTTGATTGGATTGAGAAAACCCTGGGACTGTACTTGTAGGTTTTATTTTGATTTTAACAACCAAAAAGAGAAATAAAATTAGAACAGCATTTTAAGTTCTCATTATTTGTATTTATTATTTTGTCCTTAAAACAACTCCCTGAAAACCTTGGAAATATAAGTTGGAGTGTTTTTCTTAGCCATGCAAGTAATTTAAATATACATGCAGCCAGTTGGAAGTCTGGGAAGTAGGAAAGATACAGGATTGGACAGCAGGCTTGACCCTTTAAAGCTAGAGCCCAGATGTGCTGCCTTACATCTTTCTGGAATGGCAGAGTGCATTTTCTGGCTGAAAAGTAAAGCTCATAGCCACCCACCTCTTTCTTGTAGCCTCAAAACATAGAGACCATTGGTTTGCTTTTGCCTTGGCAAATATGTTAATCTAAGTTAAATACTTAAGGATATTTTAAATCCCCCCTTCACTGGAAGATGTCTCCATCAAGAATTCCACTGTTTTAGAAAATAATTACAGGGACTCTTCCAGGACCTTTGAAAGATTCATAACCAAGTATTCGCCATTATAATATGTTTTCCAGTGTGAACGAATGTGTTGAAGGAAAAAAAAACAGGTATACGAGAGATGACCCTCATATTTACATGTCTATATCTGACTGGATATTTTTCTGAAGCCTTCTATAAGGGACATAAATCGATTGCCCCATATCTTTCTCGAACTCCTCCCTTTTGGCGTCTCATCACATGGTTGCACAGAGGCAGCTGTGTGAGTACAGCATGAGTCATAAGCTCTCTTTAGACTGGAAAAAAAAAACTAAAACTTAAAATATAACTTAGTATTAAACCCTTTGGTAAATTGAAAACCCTTTTTTATAGTGCAGATATTCCCAACAATATTAATATATTTTGTTAGATAAAACAGTGCTTGTATAAGCTTGAACTTTCTTGATATATGTTCATTTCAAACTATATGAATGTACATTTTTAGGAACCATAAATATTATTTTCAAAAGCATATTAGGCCCATGACTTATTTCCTTATTTTCACAGTTGATGAAATCCTGAAATGTAAACCATGAAGTTTGTCAAATAAATCATTTTAAACTGCATGTCACTGCATATCAGTGTGCATCCTATTTAAAAAGCCTTTTAATAATTCAGAGGTAGATTTGGTTCAGAAAGCATGGCATTTCTCCAGTCTCACCCTTATGACCTGCATTTATTAGGTTAGCATGGAATTTTCAAGCATATTTCTAGAAGCCCTAGCTATTACTTCTTTACTGTAATAGTTTCTTCATGGAAACAAGATTCTTCCTCATATTGAAACTTCGCCAGGCTATAAATATTACAAAAGGATCCACTCAAAGATACCAAGAAAACAGTTAATCTTCCATGCAACTACTAGTACAGTTTTTACTTATTTCTCCTTTTTATTTTTCTGCCTTCAAAAGCATAGTTTCTAACATGGATTTAGAATACTCGTAAACTTTTAGTTTATTTTATGAACTGGTTTATTTCGGTTAGATATGTGCACTATTGGAGAACTTTCTTACTAAAGCTGTTTCTTCCTGAAGGAATGTCAATGAATGTGTGTGTGTCAATGCATGTTTTAGATAGAGGCTTGACTATGTGCTTACCCAGCTGTCTTTGATTTGGAAAAGACCACCACCTAAAATAGCACCAGCCTGATAACCTTACTAACTAGACATAGTCACAGTGTCAGCCAATCACATTGTAAAGCAGAAGCATAGGACCTTGTGCTCTAGATTTGTCCTCTGCAATACGAACAACACTGTTTTGGAGGCGTTTCTGTAGCCAAAATCCAAAGTTCAAGACTTTCAGTACTATTGACAAAAAGCCACAGCCTGTGGATGTTGAACAAACTGATGAGCAAGTCCCTGTAATTTTTTTTTAATCAATTAGCAAAATGCCTGCCTCATTGACCTAGGTTGTTTTTCTACAACTAGATGGTAAGTTCCATATGGAGTTTAGGGACAGACTAGCTGGTGTGGTCCCCAGCTCGGTTGGCTCCTGGTAATGTATCCAGCATGGATGCATACTTCCCTGAGATGCTCTTTCTGGTGGTGGTCATGCCTACATCACTCTAATGACAATATACACAGTGGGTAAGGTGGAACAGTGGGCACTTGGCCAGAGCCCCATTATATACCCTCAAAAGCACTGTGTCCTTTTCCTTCATAGTGTTTCTCCAAATTGAAATGTTTGCTCCTCATCTTCAGGGTTTATACATCCTCCTTCCCTCCTAAATGGTGTCAGGACAAACAATTCAGCAGTGTTTATTTAGAATGTCTGAATACAGTAAAAGATTTAGGCTAATGTATATCAGATGCTGGTTATCTGGGGCTTCTTTCTAAAAATCAAAGATATGCTTCTGCCTTAAGTGGTACTCTATACAGTTAGGTAGATAAGGCATACACATTAAGAGAAAAATGGACATGAGTATATACAGTTGAAAAAAGTTATCAGGATGAACACAAGGGGCCGGCCGAGTGGCGCGTTGGTTAAGAGCTGGCTTGGGACACCAGAGGGCCCCATTTCGGATCCCACATATAAGGGCCAGTGACACTGCCCTCTACAGCTAAGATGCTGAACAACAGCTCAACCTGGAGCTGGGCTGCTGTGAGTCGCCAGCGACAGCAGGTGGATTGCCATGGGCTACCGTGTGTAGTCAGCAGTCAGCGTGAGCAGCCAGCAGCTGCCATGAGTAGCTGTCCAGAAGCCGGCGACTGATCTGCCTCGCCGGGGAAGAGCGCAGTGATGGTACCAACTTGGGCCAGTGAAGCAACGTCCTCCACAACTAGACTGAAGAAAAAAGGACAGCAACTTGTCTGTTCCCCTTCCCCCAATTCCCCAGCACTGTTCCCATCCCCCAACTCCCCAATAAAAATCTTTAAAAAAAAAAAAAAGATGAACACAAGATTAGTGCACTTTACATTTAATGGCTTTTATAATTCAACTTTCAAAAAGGGTAAATCATGACATAAGGCAGAATACCAAGCCAATCAATTTGTGAAATAGTAAATACATGGAGAACAGAATTGCAGTGTCTGTCCGTGGTGGTTAAAATTGGCTTCTTTGAAGAGGTTGGGGTTGGATTTAATCTGGGCTGTCAAAGAAAGAAAAAAGTGGGAATTACACAAAGGTCTGAGGCCCAAAACTACATGAGGATTTGACTGGAGGAGAGGGTTTGACATTAAAAAGAGTAAAGAAGAGATCAGGCAGGTTGTGAATGGCTTAGAGGCCAGATTAAAAGTGTGGACTTGACACTGAGAAAAAGAGCAGGAGTGTGAGTCATCAGAACCCATATTGTCCAGATGAAAAGAAATTAGAGCCTAAAGTAGGGTGGCAATAAAAATGGAGAGGAAAAGGCACAGTGCTTTTCAAACTCTGATGTGCACATGGATCACTGCTTCACCCGGGGATGTGGTTCAGCTACACATCCTGATTTCTGAGATCTGCAGATATCGCTGCTGCTGCTGTTGCTGAGCTGAAGACCACCTTTTAATTAGCATGGATCTTAACCATGCTGCACATTAGAACCACCTGGTACTTTGTCATTGTATAGGTCATCTTTTTCTCCACGGTATTTTTATATCATGAAAATAAGCATCATAAAATAAATTTCAATAAGAACACACTGAGAAAAGTTTTTACCGGCTTTAACAGAACTTGCTACATTTTCCACAAAAGAAAAAATTTAAATAGATTTTAATTTAGCTGGTACTTTTTCTCAGATCCAGTTGTTTAAAGGCACTTAACAGAATACTTTCTATCTTTTCATGATCCTTTCCTTGTCCCTTTTCATGATCAACTCCATGGCCATAAGAACTCTGTGACTTGAGTTATTTTAGTGAGGGAGCAGACAGCAGATGAGAAATAAACAATGAATTGCCATTTTGTGCCAATATCAAACAGAAGGCTGATCTAAATGATGAGAATAAAAATGTTTCTGCAAACATGAATATCCTCAACAGTAGCAGTAAAAAATCAAAGTAAATTGCTTTTTAATTACTTTTTTTTATAGTGTCCTTAATTAAAATTTTAATTTGGTATTGTCCTGCCACTCTGTATCTAGTGTGAGTGAATGGTCTATAAGGGGGATTCTACAATCTGGTTAATTTTTTGGCTTAACAGGCAGTGGCATATGTAAGAAGACAATGCTACTTTAAAATGTTGTGTGAAATTCTGTGTATGATTTGGAAGCCCCTTTAAATTCATCTCTTTATTATCTTAGGATCCCCAATTGAAAGTACTTTTACAACATGCTGGGAAATAGGAGGCTTGAACCAAAGATTTAGGCAAAAGGCTGGCAGAAATCTACAACTATAGATTTTTATTTTATTCCTTTATTCCTTAAAGTCTTTCAAAGAACTGGAGAACATATTCACATTTGGGGGAAATTTTCACATTTAATTTTCATTGCACAAACTTGAAATCCATTAACTCAGAATACCACTCAGCATCGGTAACAATTGAGAAGATACCCTTGGAAATGTTCATTGATGCTTCTCAGGTCTTGCTTAGATGGTTAAGTATCAGAGCTGGAATGAACTTTGAGTATCCATCCTGGAGACCGGGGATGGAAAAAGAACTTGACACCTTTGCCTTTGTCATAGGCTTCTCAGAATCACTTATTTTTAACAGCATTCAGGAAAGTACTCCCACCACTTCCTTTGGAAAGTACTCTTTAATCACATCTATCAGGAACTTTTAATGTATTTTTTAACCACAGTTCATTGTTTCCACTTACACTAGTTATTAGCATCTGAATAAATTCACCTACCTCCCTCCACCCTATCTGTATCCTGATAGAAATTGAATGCTTCCTAAACTAACTATAGCCAATGGCTTCATATTTAGTTGAATTTTAATTCCTTCCAGCCCTTTTAATCAGAGATGATTGGCTTCTGTATCTCATGTCAGTATTATATGTCCCCTGTCAACAGATCATTTCTGAATCAAATTATTGTAGCCCATAGCAGGGGTTGGGGAGTGGGAAGGTGGGAGGACTAGCATATCCCCCACCACCCCAGACTGGATTATAGTCCAAAGCCCCCTTTCCAGGAGCAGAAACCTCTCACTTCGTCAGTCTTTTGGCCCCTTTCCTGCTAGGTAGTCAGAAACTATGTACATCCAAGGCTCTCTCCACTCCACCAAATTCAAGGCCAGCAAGGACTGAGCCAAATTGCAATTGTGGTTTTCAAACCAGGCCTCTCAGAAAGGCAGGCCCCTCCCCTCCCTGGGGCTCCATGTTTCTCCAGCTCCCTGGAAGTCCCCTCCTGTGGCATTCCCAGGGTTGTTTGTACTCTGTCCAAACTCCTCCTTATCAGGTACCAGCTCTGCTCCCCGAGCCAATTCACCTATCTGCTAGTATGTACACAGCAGCACCCACCAGGGCTCACAGTGTCTGCTCCAGAAAGGCCACAGGCTGTTCAGAGTCCCTTTGGCTTCTCTGTGGCCCTGCAACCTGGCCATAGCTTTGCAGTCCTTCTCCAGGAGCAGTTGACTTTATTTGACAACTCCCACAGCAGGCAGTGCAGTCGCAGACACTACACTCCATAACTTCCTCTGCCCACCCATCAATCCGGGTGGGACAGGCTCTTGTCTTCCAGTGGAGATGACCTCACTACTGATGCTGCCCCTTCCTACATCCTGCTGGTGGCTTGCCTGCCATGGGGTTGCCTCTTGTTGCAGCTCTAAGATAGGCCTTTGTTCTGGAGCAGCTGGGCCTCGTGCCAAATGAAGGATGCATGGATGGAGGGCTGCCAAAATGTCACCCGGCACCAGGCCACCATATCTGGCCACTGGGACTATCTTTAGCTTTCCAGTAAGAAGCAGTGAAGATGGCCAAGGGAATTAAGTGGTCTTACTGTGTCTTTGGCCTCCCTCTTGCCCGTGCTGACAGCATCTTAAGGACCTGCAATGCAGACTGGTAGGTGGGGCGTGGGGAGATGGGAGGTGACACCTCCCCTGCACTGTGCAAAATGGCCCCAAGCACATGGACTTAGAGGAATGCCGCCAGATCATTGCTTTATTTCACATTCCCAGTGATGGAACCCAAACCTTCCAGGATTGGACAGGCTGGGAAGCCAGGCCATGTCCCTCTAGTCTAGGTCACATTCACTCTTCCCAGTGTAGGAACCTCACCCTGGCTACTTGGACACCCACGGCCAGGAGACCATGGGCCACCAAGACCCCTTCCCTCTCCTCACATGCCCTCCTGTCCTTCTAAAGCCCCAGCTGCCCCATCTCTCTTCAGAAGTGGTCCTTTGCTTACCAGTTAACCAGTCTCTTCTCTTTCTGTGTCTTAAAAGTCTCCACGGTGTCCTTTATATGCGTAGACTGGGCCTCTCAGCCACCTGCTTCTTTATCTCCTCCAGCTTCAGGAAGAGGAGCAGAGAGGACATTCATTCATCGGACAAATATTCAGGGGCCAAGACTGTGCAAGGTGCTGGGGACACCTGGACAAACCAGGCAAACTGTTGCCCTGGGGGGCTTGCATTTTGGAGAAAGATAATGAACAAATAAACAAATGTAAAGCATGTCAGGCTGTGATAATTGCTTTGTAGACAAATAAAGCAAGGTTAGCGTGGAGATGGACAAGGGTGTTATTTTAGGTAAGATGGACAGGGCAGCCTCTCTGCAGGGAGGGAGAGCATCTGCCTGCAGGACCCCTTGCTCCCATGTCTTCTTCCATGTGCAGATGCAATGTGATTTTCTTTCTTCTGCTTACTTCTCCCTCCCTCTGTATCTTGAGCGACTGCTAGGCTCACAGTCTGTGCTGCACTCTCTTCCTGCAAGTCAGGGGGACTAACCTCTGAGAGACTCTCAGAACTCCAGGATCTGTAGCTGGTTACACCCAATTACCAGGGCAACCGGGCAGCTCCCTGGGCATTGTCTACTGAGTTCTCTGTGCATATCCAAAATGGAATTACTCTTGCTCATTCAATATGGAGTCACTCTTGTACACACAAAACTCATTCTAACAGCTTCCAGGGGCGCTTTACTCACTCTGTTTGTGTAACATATCGGACTGCTGGGACCAATCTTATAGCCTCAGCCAGGTGTGCATACCACATTAAACCTGCTCACACGCACACACACTCACACATGACTTTTGGATCTTTTTCAGAACATATTGCACTAAAGGAACATCTCTCACCTCCTGTGTTGTATTTACATTGCAGCATGGCCTTCCTCTACTAGCTTAGCCTTGAAAGGAGGCCTGTGCCACTTCCCAATTTCTGAGTGGCCCCCCCACCCCCAACCCTATGGCAACTGACAAGAAGGAAGGCAAGGGTTAAAAAAAAAAAAGTCAGCCATAGCACCTCAATCAGGAATATTATGCTATCTGGACAGACACATGTGCAGGAAAGAAAATAGGAACTTTCCTCAGCCTCTCTGCTGCCCCTGTCCTCCTGTGCTTGTGTACTATCCCATACAGCACCCCACAGCCCAGGAGAAAGTCATCAGAGAACATTCTGAGCACTGCTATCTTCCTTTTCAGCTTCCTGGAAAGAATCGACAGTGTCAGCTTGGTGGACTACACCCCCACTGACCAGGTATGTGAAGTGAGTGCTGCGCCACTTGGCCACCCGGTGGGAACTTGTGAGTTAGAGAAATTGCCAGTATTATTCAATGATTATTTTTAAATGGGTTAAGAGAAAATTTCTTAAAATAACTACTTCTTTCAAATTGTTTGCACTGTCCCTGCATGCACACGTGATGTGTTACCATACCCTGTTAATTGGCCCATTGACTTAGCTCTCTAAAACTTGCTTGATTTCTAAATTCCCAATATCGACAAAACTTATCAGTGGAATTGGACTAAGCAATTCCTATTCCTCTTGGAGCTGTCAACAAAAACTAAATCTTTACCTCCCCAGCTTCATAAACCCTGCCCATTCTGCTTTTATGACCCTGCCCTAGTCTGGGTCATAAACTACAGCACGCTTTCCAGCTCTGACCCAGTGTGTCTCCTTTGGGTTAAGCTAGAGAAAAGTGCCCCACTGCACATTTGTAAGTAGCAGAAAGGGACCTTCTGTGCCCCCCGAAACCTTTGATCCTCAGACATCTGCAGAGACAGAGAACCTTGAATTGTTCAGCTTAGGAGCCCCCAGATGCCTCTAGAGCTAGTGAACTCTAAGAAAGTTAGAGGGCTTCCATTCAAACCTCCTCTCCAACACTCCCCAGTGTCTGTGTCCCCTGTAGGACCTTGGCTGTGGGCCCATCCTGGAGGCTCTCTCTTCTCTGACCCTCCTGAAAGTCTGAGGTCCTCTCTCTCCCATGAAGTCCACCTCTCTCTGAGGCTGACTCCAAGAGCTCAAAATTATCTGACAGAGCAGTGGAGTCAATCCCTCGAGGCTGTCCTAAACACTTCTCTTCAGGCTAAGAGGGGACAACCACCTCCCAGCTTCCAGAATGATTGTCTGCTTCATTGACATCATAATAAATTTGTGATCAGAAAAAAAATATGCCTGACATCTTATAAATGTACAAGAGATGTCAGCTTTGTAAAACTATAGCTTTCTCATCCCCTCTGGACCCATCATCTTTCAGAGGGAATAGAAGTATGCAGGGAAGAGAGAGGAAATTTAAAATCAACTAGCATCCAGTCCAAAAAATCCATGATCTGGGAATGCAGAGTTACGGCTCTTTTGGTTTCTCACCCAAATGGTACTGAACCTGGAGCAGGTGGCTGTCCAGTTGTAACAGAAGGGCACTGGAAGATCTCTCCCAGAACACTAAGCATGTGATTTGGTTGTCAGGAGCATGACAGTCAGTGAGCTACATTCATCAGTGATTTAAATAAACAATCCTAAAGAAAGTGAAAGCATAGCTCTTAAGTATCTAAAGACAAATAAATATATTAACTGTGATTTTCTCAGAGGATGGGAGGTAGGGGGTGAGACAGAATGCATTTGTCTGAGTTTTTAATTACCATGTTGTTTCTTTTATAATGGCAAAAATTGCTATTCGAAAAACTCAATTATGATTGCATCCACGGCTTTCCTTGTGAAGGAGAACAACGGTGTCACTTGGTTTGCTTTTTCTCTTCTTGCCCTCAGGACCTTCTCAGATGCAGAGTTCTGACATCAGGGATTTTTGAGACACGATTTCAAGTGGACAAAGTAAACTTCCAGTAAGTGTGTCCTTGAGAGCAGGCCTGCTGTGGGGGTGTGGGCAGGAAGCCCTCCTTGCTGCAGGCTGGGGCCTTACTGGGTGTGGGACCAAGGAACCCTGCTACCACCCAAGGCCCTGGGGCTTTGGGGAGTGGAATACCAAATATGCATCACCATCCTTTAGGATAAGTAAATACAGACTGTGTGGTACTGAAATATACGCAGTAAGTTTAGGGAGGGAAGAATCCAAGACCTGAGACACCTGAGAAGGTAAGAAAGATCCAAGGCATTGGGGTAGATAGAAACTGCAGCCAGAAACTCAGGCAGAGGGAGGCACTGCACAGGCTGCTCTGAGAAGCAGGCTCAAGTCGGGCTGATGGCTGCGGGGCAATGACTGAAATCAGAGAAATGACTGGTTTTGGATACCCAGGCTCAGCAAGCTGGTACAGAACCTGAGACTGGGCCTTAGCAGTCTGCCGAGGTCCCACAGGGAGCCATGCTACAGACCAGACAGCAACGGAGAGTAGCACAGAAGTGCACGGTGCTTCCTCACACCCATAATAATTGTCCTGTTGTCCTTCCACAGCATGTTTGATGTCGGTGGCCAGAGGGATGAGAGAAGAAAATGGATCCAGTGCTTTAACGGTGATTTCCATGCTCTCTCAAGAATATGGGATGAATTCTCACACTTGCTCCTGCTACTGTGTTTAAGTAGCTATGAATGAGATTATCTATAAAATACATTCAGTGTGAATCTCATAAATAAGGGATTTAAGCATCTCAGATTTCCATTTATCATTCGCTAATATGGGTAGACTCCTGGTCAGGTACATTACTGAACAACCAGTTATACACACAGTGCTGATTCAAGTCATCCTTATAATCACGGGATGAAATTTCCCTGGAAATCAGTAGCAGTGGGGTGTGTACTTTATCATAACCCCACAATGACCATCTGTCTAACTTTTTCTCTCTTCTCCCACTAAGATGTCACTGCTATCATTTATGTCGCCGCCTGCAGTAGCTACAACATGGTGATTCGGGAAGATAACAACACCAACAGGCTGAGAGAGTCCCTGGACCTTTTCGAAAGCATCTGGAACAACAGGTTATAAAAATAATAAATTCAGCCTCACCACTCAATTGCAAATTTTCTTTCATTAAAATTACCACCCAGCTCACTTTTATTTTTATTTTCCAGATATAGTCATTCTTTCCTTACTGATAAATTCAAAACTATAGAAGTATCTCTTTTAGTCCATCTCATATACAGACATTTTTAATATAGGGGGACTGTTCCTTGATGAAGCTCTGGCAATGCTTTGTCAAGAAAATTTAAATCTCAATGTTGAAAGCCTAAGATCATATCTAGGGTTCAAATTTGGTTTTGTTTGGTTTTCAAAATTTAGAAAGTACTAATTTTAACCACCCATCACTTACAGTTTAAAAGCACAGCATGATCATGTTTGAAACTGGTAGTATTGCACAGGAACAGAACTGCAAACACACACACACAGTTAAAAAATCTAAGTTTATTCTGAAATATTTGGGAATAAATAGCTCCAAGGAGGACAGAAACATTAGCTGACCTTGCAAAAGATTTGGGTTGTCAGAAAAGTATTTGTCTATAAAGTGTTCAGCAACTGGTCTCAGTTCTATAGTATTAAGACAGTTAATGGGAAAGAAAGAGTCAGGAAATACTGGTATACAGAGGAATGCATTGGAGTCATTAAAAATTTATATATATATACATATATATATATATATACACACACACACACACACACACACACACACACACACACATGCATGCGCACACACACACACAACGTACAGCCACATGGGAAAATGACCGTCACAATAATGTTAAATGAAAAGGCAGATTTAAAAACATCATAACTTATTTTTATAGAGATGATAAATATGTGTGAGAATAGAAAAAAAAACTACAAAAACATAAAAATTCGAATAGTTTTTTCAAGGTGTAATTACATTTGATTTTTTTTCTATAATTAAAAATTCATTTTTACAAGGACTATGTATTTTATAAGTAGAAGAAACTGTAAGTCTATTTCCATTTGGGGGGGAGAATGGATTGTGTTTCTAATTCATAGTACAATTCCTGTACACTAATCATCAGCTTGATTCCTTTGAAGTAATGGAATTTCCAAAGGCTTTGTTAATATGCACACTGAACTCATGTTAAGCTAGTTCTCAGTATTTAATGAAACAGAGAGAGAACTTTCCTTCCTGCACCTTCACTGTACCTGAGCCCCTCCCCTTAGCTTGTCATGTCCAGTGCAGTGATCTAGCTCTAGATCTGATTCACAGCCTCTCCACATCTGGAGAACCTCAGATCTGTTCAGAGGTGGCAGGGGAAGAACCAAGCCAGCCACAAACTATATTCTGTGTGATTAGGTAATGAGTCCTCTATCTTGCTGCTGCTATTGTTGTTAACGCTTTAACTTTTTCTAATTTTCTGACCCTTAATTAGTAAATTACACCAAGTGTATTTATTACCTAAGTAAACCTTAGCTTTGTACCAGTAAATTTATAACCCCAGTGAAGATGAGTTAGAAAGTGCTAAACTGCTAAATCAACTACCTATATTTATCATTATAAGAATGTCTTGTTGGCAGATGGAGTGGAGGACTGAGATACAGGTATGTCAAATATTGCTAAATATTATACATCGTCAAGAAAATGACAATGTTGTCATTTTCACTGAATTTCTCCTATGTTAGATGTACTTTCCCATACAGTGGATATGAAATTTGTATGCTTATTTCTCCTCAGGTGGTTACGGACCATTTCTATCATCTTGTTCTTGAACAAACAAGATATGCTGGCAGAAAAAGTCTTGGCAGGAAAATCAAAAATTGAAGATTATTTCCCAGAGTATGCAAATTATACTGTTCCTGAAGATGGTAAGATTTCAAAACAAGTTTCTCCTGATTAAGGAAAAAACTTAATTGTTCTCTCACTACCCCTGTAATTATAATTCAAACAGTTCTGATGAGTCTAGGAAAGTCAGTTAATTTAAATCAATCCTCTCAACTATCCTAAAGTACTAGAGTATTAAAATATCCTATGTAGGATTCCATTTGTAAAAACTTCAGAGTTTGACTTTCCATTCAAACTGTGCAGTTGGAAAAAGGGCAATTTCAGGTGTGAATATGTCATTAGTTGGGGTAAATATTGCCTCTTGGTGCCTCAGTTGGGTCTGCTGTGAACTGGGCCCATGTCAGCCCTTTATATTGACCTTCACATTGAACCCTCACAGTAACGCTATGTGGGAGCACCTGTTCTCACATTTTCCTGTGGAAATTGAGGCTGAGAGAGGTAAAGTCACTTGTTCAAGGTCATTCAAGTAGAGCCTGCTAGGACAAGGCAGTCTTGGAACCCTTTACTTCCGAGCCCGCACTTTCAGCCACCGTGTTTATATCTTTTGTATCCAATAATGACTTTGGCTACAACACTGGTGACTTCCGTTAAGGTGACCAACCATCCGTGGGGGTTCCTGGGACATGGGACATTCAGTGCTAAAGCCAAGAAGTTCCCGTCCCGGCAAACCTGAAACCAGTTCCAACTGCTGCTCTTCAGTTTTGAGTAGACACTGGGCCACCAGAGTCTTGTAGGATGGATTTGTTCACAGCAAAATAGCACTACGTCTTAAATTTGAATCCCAAACTAGATAAAGCAGAATGAAAGGGACTTTCCTAGAAACTTCAATTAAGAAGATAAAAAAATTCATCATCCTCTTTGCACTAACTTCAGCCAGCCAGGGGTTGTGCTTTCCAAGGCTAAGGTAGTGTGCCACCTGCCTAAGGGAAATCTTCAGAGCACTGCTGTGTTGCCCTCTCTGTTGCTGGATTACCTGTCTCCCAGCAACCGAGTCTTTTTTAACTTTCTCAGTCACCAGTGTCCCCCATCCCTTCACCCTGTCAAGTCAATACTCACAGCTCTGTGGAGCTTACCTCCAAAATGTCCACTGCTGCTTGCTCTTCCATCTTTCCCTCCTCACAGCCTTCCTTGTTCCTGATCCTTCCCCCCCCCCACTCCCCACCCCCACGCTATCTCAGTTATGGATCTGGCCAGTGCAGCTTCCTACCCAGACTCCCTGATTCTGGTCACTCAGCTTTACAGAACATTCTCTGAACTTCTGCCAAAGTCACCTTTCTGAAACACAACCACAACCCTGCTTTGGATTTGTTCCAACACTGATTTAATCTCACCACAAATTGAGGCCAAACTTGACCTGTCTAGGAAATAGTAGAAGCTGGGCTCCCCCAATCTCAGCAATCTAGTGCTCCTCCCTCCACATTCAGTGACACTGTGCCCCTCCCCCTCCCCTCAGTGACACTGTGCCCCTCCCTCTCCCCCTCAGTGACACTGGTCTCCTCCCCCTACCCATACCTCTCTTCCCTCTGCACTGGGCCTGCCCAGATACCTGTCCTGGCCAAGCATGGCAGACATCCAGGTCAGGCCTGACTCAGCACCTGCAGAGCTCCCTAGAGCCTGCTCCTTGGGAGTGAAGAGGTAGGCATAGTAGTTGCAACAGAGAAGGAAGAAAGTGATGAGAACATGCAGACATGAAGCCTAGAGTTTAGGAAAATAGATTTCACAGGGTCACAGAAACTATTCAATGATCCCGTGAACTTACAATCTGCATGGGAAAAAGTATTGGGAAGGGCCTAGAGTCAGAGTGGTTGCTATAGTTGATTTTAATTAGAGGCTGCAGATGCCCAAGTCTATAGTAGAAACAGTAAGGAGGATCTTTCTAAGAACAAGACTGATGGAATGAGAACGCAGCCCTGATGAGCAGAGCCTCTGCAGAAGCCAGAGCCACGGGTCTGCAGCCCAGCTGAAGGTGAAGAAGGCAGCTGTGGGCTTGGTCCATATTCAGTGAGAAGCTTTTATTTTATTTGAGTGGAAGTTATACCCCACCACCAAAAAATAAAAATAAGAAGTTTTTCAGTGTTCTAACCATCAAATTAAAATGATTTGGGAGAAAAAAATTAAACTGACATTTTAGTTTTTTGCTTTGATATACAAGTCTTTTAATGCTATGAGTATACCTCAGTCTAACTGTAATTCCTTTTATATTTTTCATAGAGTTGCATCTCTGTTTCACATTACTTAAAATTCTATTTGTAATTTCTACAGCAACACCAGATGCAGGAGAAGATCCCAAAGTTACAAGAGCCAAGTTCTTTATCCGGGATCTATTTTTGGTAAACAAATTTATTAACCTTTGTTTTCCTACCACCTTAGAGTTATACTGTTCTTTGCTATTTGGAAATTACTTACCCTTTCATGAGCTCATTCATTCTCCCTTCAAATTATGAGATAAAAGAAGGTATTATTACTTCATCTCACAGCTGAGCACCCTGAGGTTCAGAGAGATTAGACATGTCACCTCAGGTCACACAGCTTCCAAGCAAAAATGGCACTGAGACAAGCTGGACCCTGTCACTTGTTTTATTTTCCCAAAAGGAAAGAGTCCTTCAGCAGAGTGTGGAACACTAGCACTCACACTGGGTCATCCTTTCAGCCCTTATTTTCCATTCAACCTTAAGAGGCTAAGGTTAACATGAAAATGGACTTGCTCAAATTCAGATATTTCTTTTTTTTTTACTTTTTATTTTGAGATTATTTCAAATTTACATTAAAAAAATGAAAGAGTTGTACAAGTAACTCCACATACTCTTCACCCAAATGGACTAATTGGTAAATTTTTACATTTATTTTATCTATTTATTTTTCTCTTCTGAATAACCCAGTGTGTAACTGGTTAGGAGTTTTTACTAGCTTGAAACTATTATATACTAAGACATACCCAAGGGCATGTTCCAATAATACCCAGATAGCACCTGGCACACGTCGACTGTGTTCTGCAGAACTGGGAATCAGCCCCGTCTGTAGCAGGGATGGTCCAGTCGGCGCGCGTTTCTATCGGGATCAAATCCACAGCCTGACACGACAGAACCCATGTCTCTACCCTCCTCCCACCATGCCCCGTTTCCTCTTAATCCTATATTGAATGAGAAAGTAACAAGGGCGAGAAATCAAGTCCCAAAGTGAGTTCAGAGAAACAAGGTTCCCCCAGGACATAATGGGTAGTGCTGGGAAAGGGCTCTGCAGCGAGTCAATCTGGGAAATGCTGTGTTGAATAAAGTGAGACAGGTTTCTCTCTTGTAAGACTTCTCAGAACCTTTGCTGTGCTGAAGCACACTGTGAATCTCTTCAATAAGGGAAAGTGTAGTAGATCAAGGACTTCCTTTTTTGAGGAGCATCTTGTGAGACCATAAAATATAAAACACATAAAAGGTGTTCCACAAAATGCCCTTCTAATGAGAATGAAAAGTTAACTAAGTGTGCAAATAAGGCATTTAGATAAAGATTAGAAATAGAATATGAATGGCCATGCTCCCGCTATTCAGTCCTTGGGCAGAAACCTTTTCATTTTTAACAACGGACAGTTCTGGCTTGTATGCAGTTTGCAAATCAGGAAAATAAAGGCATGGGGGTATCAACTTACTTTTTATTGTGGAATTTGCCTTGGGCAGTGAGTCGTCTGAGAAGTTTTGCGTTGGAACCCATAATCCCATGGGTTCCAACCTCACAGAAGGTAGCCAAGGCAGATTGTAGAATTGGTTATTTATTGATCATTTATCCAATATTTTATCCGGAGAGGAGCAAATCTTGGGTGAAACAATAACTTTGGTAACACAAGGCACTGAGAGTCTGTGGGGAATGAAGGTTAGAAAAGATGGAGGGGTGCAGGGAGTGGACCTGTCCTTGAGGAGAGTAAAGGGGAGGTTTGGGCCTAGAAGGCAGAGGACACAGTGAGAAGAACCCCTCTTTGAGAAGGGGCCAAATGCTGTTTGAGCATTCTCCTTAAATGTCATCACATGAGGAGGGGACTGACTACCAAGAGGTTTGTCCCAGGCAAGTTCCTTTCCTCCCATGGGGAGGCATGAACCATCCCCAGAACGGGAAGAACTTAGAACCACAGGGTCCAGGATGAGAGAGAGAGCCAGGTGCTAAGTCCCCAGAATCCCCCCTAGTCACCATCAACCAGTCCCGTCCCTCAAACTGGAAACCACCTGCAAACCTGAGCCCAGACCTGGGCCAGAGTCTCCTCCATGACCAGTGTCACCAAACCTTTTAAAACAGAAGGTGGTGAGTATATGGTCAATATCCTGTGTCTTGATGCTCTTAGCATCTGTTAGAAGCCTGCATGTTTTCTGGGCTACTTCCTCATATTTTACTAGCCCCTCTCAGATTTCTTGAACATTGTCTCCTAAGAGAGGGCCTCAGAGAGTTGGACACCAGCCAGGTGACCCAACCAAGCAGAGCCTAGAATTGCCCAGTTTTCCTTGACAAGCTTATTTCTATCACTTGTAATGAAAAAGAGTTTGTTTAGAGATTTAAACTGTTAGAAGTTTGTATACTTGCAACAACTTTTGTAATGACTCCATTCCTTAAATTTTTGTTGCTCCAGGCAGGGACAAGCTGGTCAGATTATTACAGAAGAAAGCCTATTTTAATTCATTCACTAGGCACTTACTCTGTGTATGCCACATATCTCAGCTGGTGCTTTAGAACTAAAAAGATATGTAACCTACATATCAGTGTTGATAAGTATAAATAAAAAAATTTTAATTGATTGGGAGAAGCCCAACTATTGCTAAAAATACGTCTCTCCTCCTAGGAGGAGTTTCATAACCCAATGATCACTTTCACAACACCCTTGCAGGAGTCCTAGAATTTCTCCAATAGCTGTTTCCGAAGATGCTTTGCAGGAAAAGAAGGGGTGGGAGTAGGGGGACAAGGAGGACATCCAGGGATTCCTGTGGGCACCTATGAAGAAAGTTCCATATGACCTCTGCATTAGTTTGCTAGAGCTGCCATAACAAAACTTAGAGACTGGGTGGCTTAAACAAAGGAAATGTATTTCTCACAGTCCTGGAGGCTAGAAGTCTGAGATCAAGATGTTGGCATGGTTGGTTTCTCCTGAGCCCTGTCCTTGGCTTGTACATGTCTACCTTTTCCTTGTATCCTCCCATGGTCTTCCCTCTGTTTCTATCTGTGTCTTAATCTCCTCTTCTTATGAGGACACCCATCTTACTGAATTAAGGCTCACCCTAATGACCTCATTTTAACTTAATTACCTTATTAAAGACCCTATCTCCAAATACAGTCACATTCTGAGATGCTGGGGATTAGGACTTAAACATAAGAATGGGGGGTGGGGGGATGAGGGCACAATTTAGCCCATGACAGTCTCTCTCCACACTGCCTCACTTAGCTTCACAATGCACATGAGCATGTCACTCCAAGATGTCCTCATGAATCATGACACATAACGTTTAATTCAGTGTTTAAACACCAAGTTATTTGGCCACAGAGCACTTTTCTCCCAGAACGCACATGAATCTTCCAATGCTAACCAGGGGACACCCCTAGGAAACGCTGAAGTTCTAACGTGACTGATGTGTTGTCCATACAAAACCACTAGAAGTGTGTGAATATTTAAATTCAAATTAATTAAAATTAAAACTAAAAATCAGTCTCTCTGTTGCATCTGCTAGGAATAGTGGCTACCTTATTGGCAGGGCAGATATAGAACATTTCCAATATTGCACAAAGTTCCATTGGGAGGTGCTGGTTTAGACCTTCATTTCTGGAAAATTCTACCCTGAATTCTACTTTCTGTGGCTGTCTTTTAAACATATGTCCTGTCTCAACTGAACTCTTAAGGGCCAGAGGTAAGCTAAGGTGCTTTGGGTTTCCAGCAGCATATTCAGTAGACACTCCCTACAGCTGTGTTCTTATGTCAAACAAACAAGACAACACCCCAAGCCCTCTAGTCTTTGATCAAAGTGTTGCCTAAATTCTTCTCGAAGAATGAATGGAGTGGGGTCAGGCAGTTTTCCCACCTCCGAGCCCCACAGCACAGATGCCTCTTTTTCTGCAGAGGATCAGCACAGCAACAGGGGACGGCAAACACTACTGCTACCCGCACTTCACCTGCGCTGTAGACACGGAGAACATCCGCAGGGTGTTCAACGATTGCCGCGACATCATCCAGAGGATGCACCTCAAACAGTACGAACTCTTGTGAGGCGGCCCTGGGCTGGTGGGCGCACCTTCTCTCTGCCTGCTCTCGTCTCTCTGTTACCCCACCAGGTGGAGCATTTACTCCTGGACTGCCTGTCAGCCCCAACCCATGGTAGAAAGTAGTAAGTTCCCAGTGTCTTTAGGCTGCTGTTTGTCCTATTCAGTGTGGGCTCCGTGTGTGATCACCAAGCCTCTGGCTACCTCTGTTCCCCTCAGGTTTGGTTTGTAGCTTTTGTTTTCATTGAACATGACCTCCCACAGCCTCCCCACCTCCACCAATCTGTGTCCACTCTCACTTGGGTGACACTGCAGTGAAATCTCTCTGGGTGGGGGCCCCTTTTATTTGTCCATTCAGTGATTTAGTGATTCATCAAGAACAAACTTGACAGATGGGAGAAAAACGCACTTTTTTCTGAGTTGTCAAGCATGATTGCAGAGGCACATGTGTAATGTGGTGAGGCATGGCGCTTTCCGATTCTAGCTTTAAGAAGCTGCAGGTGGACAAGTGGCCACTCCTTCTGATCTACATTGGCCCAAGTCTTAGAGTAGGCCCCAAGCCACAGAGGGGAGAGAAAGCCTTTTTTCAATAATATTTAAAGTCGCTGCTAGCCTCAGGCATTTGAATTAGAGCTACTTTGAGCCTTTTACATTTAGGCAGAAAACATACCACATTCACTACTGCAAAATATGTCCTGTCTAAAAATGATTCCCTAGACTTTCATTATGCTTAAGCAATTGTCTCTTTTCATATATTCTTTTTGTTGTTTTATCTCTGGTTTATTATACTGTACAGACCACAAATGTACTATTATTTTGTATAACTACTAAAGAAAAATACTCGTAGATCTTTGTGTCTTGGTTATGGCTATAACTGTAAAAGAAATATGTTGTGTTTTTTTGTGTGTGCTGAACAGCTAAATGTCAACATTACCTGCTGCTTGCTCTGAAAAGGAATGAATGATATCTGTAGAATTTAGGACGTTTTATCAGTTGGTACTTTTAAAAATACTCCTTGATTATATATAAGTACAAGTTAATCATTCACATCTTATAAACAATGCCGTATTAACATCACAAGCTTCTTTCACAGAACCAAGGATGTTTTTTCTCTCCACACAGTATCTTTCTCGATTATTTTGCTATTTAAAGACTTTTACAGGTTTCCTGAGTGGGAATAGGTCAACCATTGCCACTGTCAAAGCTTTTGAACCATTTACTTGACCACAGGTTCCATCATAAACAAATAGGAAGAAAAAAGACAAATATAGGCATCAACATTTGTGTCTGCCTAGGAGAATCAAAGAATGGCATCTTCATTTGCCTTTTAAAGAAGAAACATTACAAAACCTGTATTTGAAATATAAAATCAAAACATATGGCTATTTCTCAAACTTGAAAGATTTGCAAATGCAGCCTCAAGTTATTGCATAGTATATCTAGAAAGCAAGAATCTCTGTAGCAGGCACATGTCATATTCTATCCACAGTCACAGCTTTGACGGTAGTTTCCTTAGGTTAAAGATAATCTGTACTGATGTTTGAAGTTATATTTCAACAATACAAATCCAGGGAAGTGACAGCCTAGCCTACATTATTTCATTAATTTCCTTTGTCTTTGTTGAGTATTTTAAAGTTTATAATATAATCAGCATTTTATAATCCTTTATAAACTTATCCAATTTTAAATACTACTTTTCCAAGAAAGGATGACAACTTTGTAGACAATCAGTGCAACAAACACATATTTTATCTTTTTATCCAAATTCCTGCTCCTTTCATCCTTAACTGTTTCATAAAACTCTCAGTTGAACTGAGACATACAAAGTAAAAATTATTTTCAGTTTCCACTGCACTTTCAAAGTAAAACATGAAGAAAAACTGAGGATACACTCCCATACATAGACAAAAAATGAAGTTGTACGTTGTTACATGCATTATTACTCAACAACTCCCCTGTTAACTAAACTTCCTATTTAAAAGTCAATTGCAGAAAGAGATAGACTCTTAGAAAAAAAAAAAAGAATACATTTTGTCTGGCTTAAAATTATCAAGATATATTTATTTTTAAATACCAAAGCCACTTCCTAGTCCATTTTTCAAGTTCCTTTTGACCATAGGCATTAAATTCAGATTTAACAACTTGGTCTAGTGGAGAGAAAATTACACTTATCTAAAAATCTGATTCCATTAATTTAGCACAGAAGTACAAAAGTCTGTGTAAACTTTTCCTGCTTGTAGCATCTGTACATTTATTTGCTGTGTACAGCTTTATAATATTTAGGAATTTGAGAACAACTTCGGAGGAGGACAAAAAGCAAACCCAAAGTTTGGTTTGTGTACACCTAAGCCCAAGTGTGCCTCCAGGGCTGCTGGCTCCATCTTGGTGAAGAAAGGACTGTCTAGTGCATGCAAGTGATGACATTAATAGCATTTACATATTGTACAGATACAATCTTTGATTATACATATATTTGATAAAATGAGAAAACAGACTTGTCGTAATGTTTCATTTTTATAGCATGAGAACAGTACAATTAACTATTTATTCTGCAGTAATTTGCATCAATCATTTAGAATTTCTATGAAGTGCATAAAGACAGCTCATCCCACATGAGCACTGCCCCAAGTTCAGTTTCTTTGGCTTTGACATTTATTACTAAAAGCAAAAAGTCTCTTCACACTGTCTTAAATTTTCTGAGCAGCTGGCAACCAAAAAGAAAAGGCAAGTCTAGAAACCCAAAGTGAACTAATATGAGGACCACAAGGAACCCAGCTGCTCCACAATATGTGATCAGAACCGTGTTCTCGAAGGGAAGGTAGCACTTGCTGAGGGCATACTCTGTGGGCGTCATGCTGCCCTGGAAAGGAAATAAGAATGTTATGCTGCAGTGAGAGCCCCACGCACAGCTCCAACACAACAGTCTGCCTTAAGAACAACAGAAGAAAGGCAGCTTTCTTGGCTTAGCTGAGGCAGGGAAGTGGCTCTCCTCACAAGACTTAAAGAGGGACAGCCTACACATGCAGTGGTGAGAGAAAGGAAGCCACGGGTTCCTCTAAAATATAGTAGGCATACCAGAGAGATACACAGATAGGCAGGGAGATTTAAAGCAATGGTCATCGAGGAACAGGAATTCAAGGCTATTTTTCATGCCACTTGATGCTAAAATAAGCAATCTGTTACCTAGAAATACATGTGCCAGGGGCGCCTCAATGGACTTTTTTTTTTGGTAGACATTTTTGCTATGTGAAATGACAGTGGGGAATGTTTTCATTTACTACTGTGAATTTGAAAACATGAGGTTTTCCCCATCTTTTCATGAAGTAGAAGTACCTGATATAAAAGCATTACGAACTGGGTGCTGAAACCCAAAGGCAAAAAAAAAGGTGCTGAAACATCAGGTGGTCAGTCATTGAAACAATATCCTTAATCAACTTGCAAGAGCTATAGCGTTTTTCTGCCACAGCACATGGCACATTTGGAAAATAAGACATGATGACTAGGTACAGCTAATGAAAAAATGATCCTGTTTCCTTAGAAAATTAAATACACAAAGCCTAATGTCAGAGGACACTACCTTCCCTGAAGGGATAAAACACTCTGTAAGACACTTCTCCCCTTACCCCTCTTGGAATAATGCCATGTTTCTTTGTCCCCAGGAAGATGTTTAGACAGGGTACAGTGTATCAAACTAAATGTGCGTGCAGAGTGGGGGAAGTTTATTTATGGCTTTTGTATATTTTTACAGATTACAGCAATTAAACAGTTGACTTCTGTGTTGATTTAAATACTTATTAAAGCTTTGAGACAAAAATAAATGTTCACGTTACCATGATGAAACTGGGGTTGTTTCTGTTCCTCCAACTGAAAGACGGCACACTGAGCTCGGAGATTCCTGCCCCGTGGAGCACCTCGCAGGCGCTGTGCGTGTGGCCACTCAGGACCAAACGTGGCTGGAGCCACCAGAGCAGCTACCACACCCAGGGGACAGCAACAGGCAGTTAATACTTGGACAGAGCCCTGCCAGGGGCCCAGAGCCAGGGCACCATTGATTTCATTCAGTTAAATATGAAATCCCTACTTTGTAGGACTGTTTTGTTTTTTCCTTAAAATCCTTTGGTTTGTTTAGACCAGCGGTTCTCAACCTGTGGGTCGCGACCCTTTTGGGGGTCAAATGACCCTTTCACAGGGGTCGCCTAAGACCATCGGAAAACAAAAAGATATTTACATTACGATTCATAACAGTAGCAAAATTACAGTTATAGAGTA